AAATAACAAACCAAGATAAAGAGATTTTAAAGCAATCATGCAGGAGCTTCAATTAAGGCTTCCTTATCCTATTTAACATGATTTTCAGGCCTTTCATCTTAAACCACAATTTTATTATGCTCAATCTAATACCTTGTGCTGAAGCAGGATGTGCTTATTATGTTTGCCAAAATCTGTACACTATGCAGTATCGAAGGCCATCTTTCAATAGAGCATAAGCAAACATTCACCTGAATGCAATTTAGGAAATGTTGGGAAGTCCTGCCCTTTCTCCATTTTCCCCTTCCCTTTCGCATTTTGTAGATCTCTTACAATTATCTCCATTCAATCTTTTTTAAAATTTTATTTATTCATTTATTTATTTTTGAGACAGACAGAGAGAGAGAGAGAGAGAGAGAGAGAAAGAGAGAAGCAATCCCAAGCAGGGTCCATGCACGGTGTGAGGCTCGATCCCACGACCTTAAGATCATGACCTGAGCTGACATCGAGTCAGGCACTCAACTGACTGAGCCACCCAGGTGCCCCTCCATTCAATTTTCTTCAACACAATCAAAGTGGGTATCATTACCCCATTCTAGAGAAGGGGCGAGGACTCCTCGAGTTGAGGAGTAGTATGTTAGTGGTCACACCATCCTCTGTCTGACCTGCCAGGGGGACAAAAGATCTGCTTGACCCCAGAGCCCACCAAGTATTCTTAACTCCTCCCTAGCTTTAGAGATTTATCCCTTACAAGGATTTAATTTATAAATGTGACCACCTCTGAAGAAGAAATATACCTTCATCTACTCTTTAATGTGAGGGAATTTTTTCTTAGTCTTCAGGGATTTATGTTAGCTTAAGGGTTTTACTAGATATAAAGGTAGTAAGCATGGAAGGAAGATCTCCCTCAGAGGAAATAGAAGTCACCACGCAGAAGGAACCCCGACGTTGGCTTCAGAGAGCCCTGAGTTCAAGGAGTGATCTGCCCCTTCTTAGCTACACCATACAGGGAAGATTGTTTGCTTTTTTCTTTCTTTTCATGTCTCTGTGTTTGGGTTTTCTCATCTGTGAAATGGGACTGGTAAGGTTAGTAATGTGTGGATGAACCTGGAAAAACATATGCATTAGGTAAATTGTAGCTTGGTTACTTGTATCTTTTCCTTCTACCTTACTTCACCCACACACTTTGATTCTAGAAGTTGTAAAGTCTTAGATTTTTCTAATTCCAAAATTGAGTGTAGCTCTGATTCATAGAATCTGACCGATTGTCTGCATTGCTCTCTTGGACCCAGATTTATCTTGGATTGCATGTTATGCTTGCAGATACCATGGAAATGAGCACTTTATACTTGGCCTGATAAATAGAAACAATTTTACCCGAATCACTCAATATGCAAACACTTTAAAAATAAGCAAGAGCTGTTACAGCTTTAAATATATCTGTGCTTGACAGCCTGCCTAATGTTTCACGATTTAATTAGTAATATCATTTCCCTGGACTTAAGGTTATCAATCATGTTACCGTTATTTCATTTCTGGCTGTCTAAATATAGCTGGATAGAGTGCTGGCATTGTTCCCTTCGCAGGGATGGGTGAGGATTTTCAAGGAGAAAATGGCGGCAGGAAGAAATGACACTTCCTTCTATAAGCAGCCATGGATCAGACCCACCAAGAAATTCCATCTTTAATAAATCCACAGCTATTTATCTCTTTCCATCATGCATTAGCTGGCATAGAACCTCCAGTAGAAAGCTGACAAAAGAGTGGAGGAGAAAAAAATGAACCTACAAAAGGCAATTAATCTAATTAATGGTGGTAATACGACCATGCATCTGTCTACTACAGTTCACAGCAGGCACTTCTACAGAAGTGATTTTATTTAACCTCATTTAATTAGCGCTAAGTGCTAATTGTTTGGTACACACTATAAAACTCAGCTGATGTTCATATAAGGGAAAGATCAACACGTGGGTTGCAGTGGTTGGGAAAGCTTCAGGTCCTAATGCAGGTGCACTGGATCGTTCAGGACAGGTTGGGGGTGGGGACAACGAGTTCCTTAGCTCATCGCCAGTGGTACTTCTCATGACCCAAAATATGCCAGAATTTTACCAAGCCTAGACCCTTTCAAAGCCTAATTCAGCATTTGACCACAAAGGCATGTGCTTTGGGTTTTGCAACTCTCCTCAGAATGATAAAAGTCCTGGAAGCCAGACATAAGCAGCAATTGTGTTGACTGTGCAGACTTCAGTGAAACCAAAATACAGAGAAGGGAGAAAGCCTCTGAAATATTTCTGGGATGAAAATGAGTACGAGAAGCAGGGAAGGAAAATGTAAAAACGTGCTAGAAAACCAGCTGGAGAGGAAGTGTTGCATTTTTTCATCAATGTCTTGCATTGATGAAATGTGCTTTATAATGGTCAGTCTGTGCCTAATACAGACTGAGTTAAGACACTCACAGGAGGCTTACGAAAACTCTTTTAATTCAAAACAAAGGCCATCGGTGTATGCATACGCCTGTGTGTGTGTGTGTGTGTGTGTGTGTGTGTGTGTGTGGACTGGCGGGACCGGGGGGCTGGGGGCCTGGAGGGGCCTGGGGGGCCTGGGGCGAGCACTAATATCAAAAACTTGCATCCCTTTCAAGGTGAAGAAACACTGACAGAAAGATCGAGGTAGCCGCGACTAGGAACACATAAGATGGCTACGATCAATTCACATCACTTGGCTACTCCAAAATCTACTCACTTATACCACACCAAAGACACAGCGAGTAGATTGAACACATAGACCTTCCACATTCAACTATCTTAAAAAAAGAACATCTCTGGAAACAAGATGAGGGGATGGGCGAATGCATGCCCAGAGACTTTTCTGAGGTCATACAACACGATAAACGACATGTTTGTCTTTATTCAGCTGGTGGCTACTTTTCTCCCATGTTAAACCAGTATTCTGACTCCGACACACAAGGACCATTCTACTTTCTTCAATGTAACCTCTCCTGATGGCACTTCAGTGATTGAAACTTGCCTGGAAGTCTCCAGATCTGTATTGTGGTTCTGCTCCTGACACAATTTGGTTGTTGGTTTGGGACAGGTTGAGTAACCTTTCTGCACACCAGTTTCCTCACGTGTAAAAGGAGCTGATCAGATCAGACAGTCCTAAACTCTCTATAACTCTAGTTTTCTCAAAGTCTAACCTCATTTCCTCAAAGTCTCTTCATATTCTATCCATCTCTTAAGATACCACTTACGCCTCAAGTCCTTCAAAGGTACTTTCCCAGACCTGGCTTTTCCCTTTCCCCTCTCCTGTCACTTCCTCATGTTCCAGTTCTCTCCAGCTCCCCCTCGTCCCTCTCCAGTTGATGTTAACTCTGTTTCATCAACTGTTAACTCTGTTTCAGCCTCAGATGTCCCTTCTCTTTCTTCGTCTCTCTGTGCTTTGTAAGTCTGCTTAGATTCTGGGCAGTGATGAGTGGCCTAATGGAGGAGCATCTATTCTGTGCTCCCAAGGCACCCTCAGACCACCATCATTATTACACACCATTTGTAGCCCTGTATCATGACTGTCGTAGCTGTCACTTTTATCAGACTCTGACATCCACTAAAGCTGGTACTCTATCCGCAGAACAGAGGTTCTCAAATTGGCTGCTGTGTAGTCCAGTGATCTGGGAGCATTTCAATATCCCCATGCCCAGATTGGCCCACAGAACAATTAAATCAGGAACTTGGCGTGGACCCTAGCAATCATTATTTTTTAAGCCCCTGACATGGTTCCAAGTTTGAGAATCACTGCCTTAGAGTGTCCAACAATACGTGTATGGTAACTGTTAATGAATGACCCCATTTACTAGATCTATGATCCCTGGACAAATTATATGGCTTCTCTACATGTTGGTTTCTTTCTCTAAAATGGAGAAGCAGTTTTAGACAGTATAGCATTATGAAGATTAAGATGCACGTGTAATCAGTCGGTCCATAGTGGGCATTTAGCAGATGTCAATTCTCCTCACCTCACTTATCTCCCCAAAATGTCAATACCAAGTTTCCACAAGTCATGCAATAGGCAGCTTGGATGAAGAAGTATGAGCTCTTTCACAGAGCCATTTTTCTTTGTCCTTCCACTACCCTTATCCCCCTCTGAAACACTCTTCCCGTGTTCTCTGGAAAGCAGGGAATTCCCCCAAGCAGACTGGGTCACCATGATTTAGGAAGCAAACTGGCTTACTGTCGTTGTCACTTCCTTACTGGGAAATAAGCTTTATTATTTTTGCATCCTCTTTACTACCCCTTCAATCAGCCTAGTGACAGAGGTGTCCCCTACAAGGAACAGGTCTGAGAATAACTCGTCAACTCTCCTAAGTGGAATGCCAAGACATGTAGCTTACACAAATGACACCCTGAGGCAGGTATTGTGGCGTGGAAGGCTCTTCAATTATCAAAACATCGGAGGATGTACATTTGGCTTTTACATGATTATGTGAGTGTGTGTGTACTTGATGCGTGTACACATATACATATTCATATGAATATGTTGCATTGTCAAGGTCTTCCTTTTTTAAATCCTCTCTCAGAATAGAAAAAGAATGATTTTAAGATAAAACAGTGTGTTCTCTCTTTTAAGACATAGACCAATGGTTCTCAAACTTGAGCATCTAACAGAAGCCCTTGGAGACCCTAAAACCCCTGTTGCTCAGAATCCCAACCCCGAGTCTTTCTGATGTGGTCACCCTGGAGCAGGGCCTCAGAATCTGCATTTGAGCACTACTGATCTCAGTGATTTAGTCAGATTTGTGCTTTAATGCAGAACAGGAGAGTAGATCAGCAAGGGTTCCTGAAGGAATTGCTATTACAGAAGGAACTTCACGTCTCCAGAACAAGTCCTGCTTAGGATGAGAGTATCATTTGATTAGCAAATGCATGGTGTTTGGGTGCCTGCGTGGCCCAGTTAAGTGTTCGACTCTTGATGTCGGTTCAGGTCATGATCTCATAGTTTGTGAGTTTGAGCCCCATGTTGAGCCTGCTTGTATAATGGGGAAAAATAGGATAAAATAGGTAGAGAGAGAAAGGTTAGGACCTGAGGTCCCTGGGTGGGGAAAAACTCGTATTTTGGAACAATGCAGGGAGCATCTGACCACAGCAAACCCCGTAGGCATAAGGTTCCTCTTAAGAATGTAACAGACCCCACCTACTCCCCATCCGATTTCCCTCCGGAATTGGATGAAAGACCTAACTAAAAATAAGTAGTAGCCCATAAACCACATGACCCACAACGAATGATATGGCCAGAGACCACCCCTCATACAATGGAAACCAACCAATCAGGAATGGGCAACCAGCACCTAGAGCTATCAAGCCAAAAAGGGTAGAACCTGAGAAGGAACAAGGGGGAAGGGAGGGAGGGCTGACCAGAACCTTGTAAAATGAGGACCCCTGCCTCCTATCGTGGGCGTTCACTTTCGAATGTCTCCTCTCTGTAAGGAGAGCTGTCCTAGCATTCTTCCTTTCTGATCTTCTACGGTAATAAACTTTTGGCTACTGCTCATTCTGTGTCCACCTCTTCACTCTTCGAAGTGGTAAGACAAGGAACCCTGGGTTTTGAGGTAAGAAATCCTGCAACACTGCTCTCTCTCTCTCTCACTCTTTCTCTTCCAAAATAAATAAAATAAACATTAAAAAAAAAGAAAATGTATTGTGTTAAGTACTCATTGAATTAGTACACTTCATTACAGATGGTTTGAATTTTCCTTTCGCCCATCCTCCAACCTGACTCTTCACCCCAAACTATCCTCGACAATTTAGACTTCAATGCATTTGTTATAAATTGGGATAATCATCTTGACTAAATTTTATTGAGTACATGCTATAAATGCTGTGCACTGTTCTAGGCTTTGGGGACACATAGAGTCAAATGTCTGCCTCTGTGGGGTTTATCTTCTGGTAAGGGAGACAAGAAGAGGCAAGTTCCGTAAATAAAATATATAGTATGCTAACTAGTAATAAAAAAAATTATCAACTGGGCAAGTGGAATGAGGAAGTTTTGAGGGGAGGGGAAACTTTAAAGCGGCCAGAGAAGGTCTCAGAATTCTGGCCCAGGACAACTGAAATGGTTGACTTGGTTTGCATCCTCTGAAAGTCAAACCTGGAAATCAAAAGGGAGTAAGGAAAAGGTAAACTGAGGTAACACTTTGAGAATCATGTTGACACTATTGGTCTGTAGCTCTCTTTGGGGAAGTGGGAAGGGGAGAAAGTAATTCAAGAACTCCCTTAGAGTTTTAAGGGCAACAAAATGGAAACTCTGGCAAAACAGGCCAAAGACTTGTGTTTAAAATCGCAGCCATGTTTCATTTTCTTACACGTCCTGGCCTGCCTTCTTTCACCTGAGATTTCAGTTGAGTTGCAGTAAGCTGTCTTGAATCTGGAACCGAGTTCCACGGGGGACTAACTGTAGACAACCCTGAAGTGAACGACCGAGTAGGATGGTGTGGGAAGAGTAGCCATTCCTTAAGGCAGTGTTAACAGAAACTCAGATACTTGAAAGGTATGAATAGCAAGTGCAAAATTCGTAATAGAAACAGCCCCAAATATCTAGGAGTTCTGGGCTACACATTGAAATTAATGTGAGAAAGGAAGAGTTCATCTTCAAGAAGAGCACAACCATCTTGGGGGAACTCCAAGTATGTGGGGTGCTCCGTGCACAGCCAGGAAGCCTGTGTTGAGCCACCAAAATGGAGAGAAACAGCAAGGCTCACCTCAGGGGACTGAGTGCCTGGATGCATTTAACTAAACTAAGGACACCCAGCCCCTGCCACAGATCCTTCCCTTCTCTCAGATTCCTTTGTGCCAATACCCGGGCAGAAGAGAAGTCACCTCCTGTCCTCCTGCATACCCGGAGGACAGTCACAGCTCACGTGTTCATGCTGTGGAGACTTAGGTGGGAGGACTCACACCCTCCCAGGCAGTGCCTCCTGTTCACCATTTTCTAGTCTGAAGGCCTGCTGCCCACTTTATCACTGTTCTAAAAGCAGAGGGAGGAACCACAATCTGAGATACAGTCTGGTCTAAACCTTCCTTCAGGAAACAACTTCTCCCCCATTTTCGTTCTTGTCAGTTCTTTGTTTACACCTAAGGAAACCAGCCTTTAAATAATTTAACATTTGTCTTCATTGTTTTGGATTTGTGTTAACTGAAAGCAGATGCAGAGAGAGGGAAATTAAGTATTACCAAGCATCCACTGTGTGCTACACACTGTGCTTTACAAACTAGAGCAGTTTAGTCCTTGAGACTCTCGTAAAGAATGTCATCATTTCTTGGCTGTATCAGTGAGGGCTCTGAATTTTAGAGAAGGCAAATAAAATGTCCAAGGTGACACAGTTCGTAAATAATAGCAGTGCGACATATGGGAAGCCCACGCCTGTCTGACTTAAGAGTCCTTGATCTTTCCTACCTTAAGGAGTCCCTGTGGTTCTGCCCCGATCTCACTCTGTTTTGTTTTCAAAATGTATCTCTCTTTTCACTTCCATCCAGAAGGTGAGAGCCTGGCTACTTCTTAGTTGAGGAGAGTGTCAGTGATATTTATGTCAAGATCTTTAATCCCAACCCTCTGGCTTTAAGTCTGAGATTCCTAAGTGAAGTGATTTTTGAAAATCACATAACTCGTGTCCATGGTTTAAGAGCTTGCTACGTGTTCATGAACCTCGTAAAATCCGAAACAAATTAGTAAACTTAATTACATGGCAGTGTTGATTCTGTGATCCATTCTGTGCTGATTCATTGCATTTTTGTATTTTTTGCATATTTTTCATGCTTCAACAGAACATTAAGATATATTAAAAACTGAATTAGCAATGTCTAAAAAGGATATATAGAAATTTTGATTTTATATGTCATGACATGATAATACCATGATAATCATATACTATTATCATAATATCCTGCCATTACATTTTATATATATAAATGTATATTTATATATAGATACTTCTCATCAGTTTGGACTTAGTTTAGAATGCAAGGTTGGTTTAATATTTGAAAATTAATCAGTGTATGCTAACTAATTTGGATATAAATTTTAAAAAGATACAATTAAAAAAAAGAAAATCAGTATAGCTAATTATATTTTCAAACTGAAAATATCATCTTAGATGCAGAAAAAGCATTTGATAATTATATATGTTATACGTAGAGAGACAATATCGCATATATGAAAGGAAAATCTTTGATAAAAGGAATCTACAAACATATCTAAACAGGCATCATATTTACTGATGAAATTTTGAAAGCTATTATTTGGAGATGAGGAATGAACAGATTATGTACCATCTTTACTTCTGCAGAACACTGTACTAAAGGACCTATCCAATGCAGGAAAGCAAAGGGACGATTTAAATATTAACATCAGAAAGGAAAATATATAGCCACCATTAATCATGTATGCTATAATTATATACATAGAAAATATGAAAGAATCCATAGATGAATGATTAGGATTGATGAAGTTAGCAAGGCTGGACGATTCAAGGTCAACTTACTAAAAGAAACGTACATACATATACTGGCAACAAATAGGATATTATATTTGAAAATTAGATACAATTTATAGCAGCCTCAAAAATAGAAAATACCTAAGAATAAATAAATAGGAAGTACATCTTATATGTAGAACACTCTATTATTGGGAGATACAAACAATAAGACTTGAATGAAAGACAAACCAAATCCGTCAACTCATGACTTCATGTGAACACGTCAGTTACTCCCAAACTGGTCTATTGATTCAATGTAATCCTGACCAATATTGCAACTCATTGTGTTTTGGAACTTGACAAGTTGATTCTGAAATTTATATGGAAATTTAAAACAAAAGACAAGAAGAGTTAATGATGCTCTTGAATAAGGAGGGAGTTCTCTCATCTGTCATGAATTATTACAACTACGGTAATTAGGACAATGTGATCTTGGCTCAAGGTTAGACAAATAGAATGGTGGAATAGAATCAGAAACCTGGAAATAGACCTGCACATGTAGATGCTTGATTTATTGCAAAGGTGACATGGTAGAGCCATGGAGACATCAAACAGTCTTCTCAACGGTGCTGAGACAACTGGCAAAAATAAAAGAAAATGTGACATCACAACATCCACAAAAATATAATCCAGCAGATGACAGATATAAATGTGAAAGATAAAACATTAAAACTTGTAGATGATAGAATGTCTTAATGGTTTCTTAAGATACAAGACACAATAAAGATAAACATTGCCGATCGAGACCATTAAAATTAAGAACTTCTGTTTGAACTTAATTAAAAGAGTGAACAAATAAACAATAGGATGGGAGGAGATGTTTGCAACACATGACAGACCAGGGGCTTCTATCTAGAATATAAATAGAATTCCTACTATATATATATGTATATATATATAGTAAATGGGCAGAATATTTGAACAGACCTAATAGTTCATTTACCCAGCAAGCAGGTGTAGAGTGTTCCTTCTATTTAAATTTGTTAAATAAAGAGGTTTTTTTTCTGTGTGTGTGTGTGTGTGTGTGTGTGTGTGTGTGTGTGTGTGTTTGTGTGTTTAGCCTTTTTGCCTGTGTGAGAAATACAACATCTGTACAGAAAAGTACAAAACAAAGCTTTAAAACTCAAAGATTTCTCACGTTATAATTCATTGTATGAATGTAATAATTTATCTTTTACTCTTGATTCATTTGGAGTGTTTCTAGTTTTTGATACTGTGAATAATGCCACTATGATCATTCTTGTGTATGTTTCCTGATATAAATTGTGCATGCCTTTCTGGGGGGATATATATCTAGGAGTAGAATTGCTAAGTCACGGGACATGGGTATACACCTCTCAAATTTTAGTACATAACAGCAAACTGGTTTCCAGAGTGTCTGTATGTATTTACATTCATTCATATCAGCAACATAGCACCTGATATTATCGGGCTTTTTAAAACTTGTAGACATTCTGTCAGTTGTATATGGAATCTTGCTTAGTGTATCTTTCCCTAATTACTATTGGAAATTAATGAACTACAGTTACAAATAACAACTTGAAAGAATCTCAAAGGAAAATAATATTGAACAAAAGAAGTCGAACACTAAATGATTCTATTTATAGTGTTAAAAATGTTTGGTGTTTAGAGATGTCTTCTGAAGAGGTAAAACTATTTAAAAAATTATGAAGATAGATACTACAACAGTATGGGCAGTGGTTGCCTTTTAGGGGGAGGGTAGAGGTGGTATGGAGGTCCAGTTAAGGTCTTTTTGGGTGCTGGAGGTACTTCTTTTTTCCATCGATATGCTTGGTACCTACACAGGTAATCACTCTGTAACACGTAATTTTTTTATTTTGTGAAGAAGGATGATATCTAACTGAATTGCCCTCTTTAAGAGGAGTAGGAGAAGCTGGCTCAGCTTACATGGGTCCTTCGTGCAAGGCAGGTGGTCAGAACACCTCGTAGATGGAACTTTATGGCTTCTAATCAGAGGAAGAGCAATGTTTCATGTTTGAGACATAGCCCTGGATACGAACTAAACATCATGTCGAGGTAGAGAGTCAACTCAAGGAAAATCTAAGGCAGTATTAGGAGCTAGAATGGGAAATCAATGACTTTGAGAACTAGGGGAAATAATATCAAAGAGCGACAAACCTAAGTGAGTGAACTGAAAGGCAATCCTTGGGAATATTAAAGAAGCCAGCCAGTGACAGGCATTGGTTCATTCTTTTAGCCTGACAACCAGGAAAGCCAGGTTTATGTACAAAAAAACTGAATGGAAAAGACATGTGCTCTGTTAGACCTCAAGAAGTTTAAGTTTCCCTGGGAAGATACATCAGATACTACTGTCATATTCATGGTGGCACAAGATTCCAGCAAACTCCTGTGGGTGGGACTCTGATGTTCAGTGAGGGATGAATCATTGCAGGTGTCGATGCCCACCAGGATGTCTCTGGGGATGGGATGAAGGTGGGAAGGGCCTGACCAGCACCTTAGCGGTGGGTGTGCTGAACCACACGGTGCTGAAAAAAATCCCTGGACAGACACAGGCTGGTGACTCAGAGCTCTGGGTCTGGAGAAATTGTAAAGTCAGAAGTGAAAGCTGTTACTTGGAAGGGAGACCCACTCTATGATTAATGGGGACAAAGGCCAGAAAGAAGACAATGTGGTGTTACAGAAATTTTTATGACACCGCCAATGCATCATCTGTCCAGGGCTTCGGAGTTTTGAATGCTCAGTATTTCTGAGTTTTGTTTCAGGCATCTTGCAATCCCTTCATGAGGGCTGTTGCCAGTTATCCACATCACTCATGGAGTGTAAGGTGAGGGCACAATCATTTGAGGGTCTCAGAGAGATCAATAATTTTATGTCCCATGAATTGTCAAATATACACTGTAACAGTTTCCTATTTATCAGCATACAGGTGCTATGGAGCCCATGGACAATGTCAGAGTCAGTCACCACAGGGCAGAAAATGGAAGAAACGCCCAACCCCCATATCATAGCCAGAAAGGAGCCTCTGGTTTCTCTGTAATCACCGTCACTACACATAATTTCACTCTAAGATATGCCGCTACGCTTTCGCCTGTTTTCATAAGGGGCTTCCAGCAGCCCCAGAAATCCACATTCACTTCCCCCTCTTTTTTTTCCCTGTTCTTCCTTTGCTCTCTGTGGCCTTTCCCAAGTGTGTATGGAATTTGCCCAAATTTCATTTCATTTTTTGATTGTCTGCCAGCCAGATAATAACAGGCATCTGATCAAGGGTTTAGTTAAGTGCTCTATCCAGCAGTATTTATGCTACATAAATTATTCATACAGTACCACCCTGGACAAATTGCACTTTGATTATACAGTCATTTTTCAGTCCATTCATTTACCAGACAAGTAGAGATCATGGGAGATCAGAGGAGCCACATGTGTGAATGGATAATGAACTTGGGTTCTTCACCCCCTCTCTGTCCTCGGCTCCCCTTTCTGGTGGTGAGCTCTCTATCAAGGGCTTTGTGAAGATCAAATGAGGTAATAGATGAAGAGTTCTTTGAATGGTAAATGTACCGAGTAAATAAAGCCAGTTGTCCATGGGAAGGATGCCCTTTAAGTAGAGTGCTTTGAGGTCACCTAGATCTGCCTTCGCATGCCAACCACTTGCGTGACCCTGGGGAACAACCTAAGCTACGTGAGACTCGGTTGCATTGCCTGTGACATGAGAACACACGTAGCTGTCTCTCAGGAAGGGGAGAAGGAACAAGTGAAGTCACATATGTAAAATGCTAGCACCGTGCCATACCTATGTCAGGTATTCAACACAAAGTCTTCTGTTTCCCATCGCTCCTTGATGGTGTTGCTCATTTGGCAGCATCATGAATGTGTTATGTTTGTTTGTTTTTCATTAATGTGCATATGTGCTTGGCTACAGGTTCAATTTGAAGTTGCAAAGCACAACAAAGTTCTTTGCTGTCTGAACCTCCCTGCTCCCAGGGCCAAGCATCGTGCCAGATACCTGCCTGTGGATTTATCAACGGTAAGAGTCCCCAGAGAGTTTGACAAGTGGCATCTCTATTCAGCATACTGCTTATCCTTGACTATATGGTCCCACTCCTAACTAGGAAGCCACATGCTTAGCTCCAAGGGGGAAATCCATGCATAGGTACAGGTATCTTAAAGGGAAGAGAACACTGATAGGAATCCAAGATGCTTCCACTGAGCTGACAGCAAATCAAGCAAAGACTGGAGAGGTAGCCTGCAAATGACTGGTTTTACCAAAGCCAGCCAACAATAGGAAGATGATTCCTACCTCTCCATAAGTACAACCTGCACTCGTAGTTTTGAGCACTTATTTTAAGTGCATGGAATTAAGCCCTAAAAGTTAGAACCATTAGTAAAGCTGTTTGTCTTGCACCTAAATTACTTGCAGGTTGACTAGATGCTTTGAGAAGCCTACTGCAAAATAAAACTCTGGGTCCTTTCTGAAAACAAAACAAACAAACAACAACAATAACAACAACGCAGAAGAAAACGCAGACCAAAAAATGCCATTAAAAGTGCTGAAATACAAACCCATATATTTTCTTTTCTTCCTAGTGTCTTTGATGTGTCATGATGTTTTTTATTTAATGTCACACTCTTCTGGGCAAAGGTATACTTGCTGAGTGAGTGCAGACTCTCACAGGTGCTGTGGGCTCACCGGCTGTCAGTTTACGCCTCCTGCCAGCTGCCCAACAGATGGCCATGGCCCCGCCTCGGTGGGAAAGCCAGTGTCTCTTCCCAAGGGCCTACACGCCAATTTATGGGAGGTAGGCAACCCCTGTGGGATTACAACGTGGGCTCCAGGACATGGCTGGTATCTGCATTGGGAGTAAGAGGTTCGCCTCCACCAAGTCACCTGCCTAACGTGCCCTCATGTTACCCACCTGGCACAGGGCCAGTTCTGTCATGTCCTGCCTCAAGACACCATGAAATGTGTGTTTATTCCTAACTCGCTCCATGTGTGTGCCAAGGTCCCTGCCATGAGAGGAGGGTGACAGCCATCCCTACGTGGGTGCCAGGAGGGGGAGCCTGGGACGTCAGCAGGTGGGGAAGTTGGCAGCTCAAAATCCATCTGTGAGCCAAGGTTTAAAGCGCCCTGCACGTGCTTCTTTTCCCCACTGGACATCCCTTACAAAGCACAAGTTCAAAGGTAAAATTATTAATAATTTCAAGGGTCCCCAAGTAGAGAGTCTCGTGGGCACAGGGCTCTGTGTGAACATACTGGCACGTACTCATGAAGCCGGTCCTCATGGCCTTATACTGCTTTGTTTCCTGCGGTCTCCTTGCTGTCTGTCAGGATGCAAGGTTTACTCAACACAGTTCTCGAAAATTCTGATTATGTGCTTTTAATGTGATGTGGGTTCAGTAATAACCTGGTTTGTTAGAGTTGTGAGTGCATAAAGAGGACCCCGGCTGCAGTGAGAGACGGAGGGAGTCTCTAAAGCACGTGCACGAGCTTTATGACCTCAACGTGGAAAACACATTTTCTGATTACTTTTTGGTTTCTGAAATGTATAAGGAAATTGCTATCATATCTGTGCTGAAAAGGCGGTTCACCACTGCGGGGTTTCCACAAACTTGTGTGGGACTAAAAGCAGCAGACTGTGTGGCAGATAGACTGTTTTCAATATCTAAAGGATCAAATTTGGGAAGCATTTATTTTGAACATACTAAAAATTGTCCACATGCTTCAAATGTACATATGACAGAGTGACGCAGGCATTTCCCCTTCTTTTCTGAGACGTAACAACAAAGCTTGAGAAGCAATAGTATCAGAAATGCAAACTATGTTACAAACACCAACAGTACAGAGATGGTATAAAAGAGAAAGGTTAGGAGGTCAGACTGTTGTTAAATACTAAAACTTCAAGTAATGGGGGGATAAGTCTATTTAATGTTGTAAATATAAACACTGATAAAGAACACATAAAAAACTAAGATCAGGTAAGTGCAAGTTAGAGGAAAGAGAAATTTAATCAGATCACAACCACAGGTCTTTCTTTTTAAAAAATTTTTTTAACGTTTATTTATTTTTGAGACAGAGACAGAGCATGAACGGGGGAGGGTCAGAGAGAGGGAGACACAGAATCTGAAACAGGCTCCAGGCTCTGAGCTGTCAGCACAGAGCCTGACGCGGGGCTCGAACTCACACACCACGAGATCACGACCTGAGCCGAAGTCGGACGCTTAACCGACTGAGCCACCCAGGCGCCCCCCACAGGTCTTTCTTTAATGAAAGAGACAATGAAGGATATAGGAAAATCTTTCCTCTAATGTCAAACACTAGAGCAAAAACATTAGCCTTCAGAATTATTCAAAATAAACATCCCCTCTGCACACGTGTGAGCGTGCGCACGCACACACACACACACACGTCACTAAAGCAAAGCCAAGAACATATAGACTACTTGCAGAAATCTTTTTATAAAGCCACAAGGAATAAAATTATACAGAAAATTTTTGATGAACTAAAAAAAACATTTCTGCCATGCAACAAAATCTATATAGCTAAACTCACCTATAAAAGAAAAAAAAAAAACCTTCCAAGATTGGACAAAAGCAAACCCCAATTTTATACTGTATGAGAGACACACACACAAATAATTCAGAGTTTAGAAATAAGATTTTGAGCAAAGTGAGCTGGATTGTATTGAGCCAACCTTGTTACGCTAAGAAATTATTTATCCAGATTTCCCTTTCCTAGATGGCTTTGAGTGTCACTTGATGTGGATCTGGGAGGTGGATTGGAAGGTATCCTCTGAAGGTCTTCATGGTTAGATCTAAAGACAGACAGACGGTACAAGTTGTCTTCACTGTCCCCCACTCCAGGTCCAGCTCTTCCCCATTGCTAGCCCTGTTGCCCACCAGTGGTCCCAAGTGTCTCCAGAGGCTAGCTATGGACACACAGAGGCGCTTACCACCTGAGGGTGCCCACTTCCGTTCTCCATGAGCTCCCATTTCAGCCCCACCTTAGCGGCTTAATGTGATGGTTGCTCAGAGGTGTCTGAACCTCCCCACTGTTCCCTGCACTGGTGTTTCAGGAGGACTGGCTTGTGGGGGCACCTTGTGACCCTTCTACTCACCTCCTGCCCTTTGCTTCAGGAAAGCAGCCTCTCTCACATTTGTGTAAGCCTATTTCCTATAACAAGAGGATGGGTCAGAAAAAAAAAAATGGGGACATGTGGAAAAATACATAGAAACAAATTAAGAGTGGAATATGATTCCCCTCTTTCATTCCATGAAAGATCAAGTTGAAAAAAGAAGTGTCTCGATACCTTAAGTGATATAATTTCAAAAGCAGATATAGTAATCTATTTTAACCTCTGTAACCTGATAACTGTGAGTAAACATTTTTTTTCAGATGATCCATAGAACATTCTCAATAAATGACCCCTCAGAAACTCTCAATATGTTTTCGAACAGAAATAATTCAGACAATATTCTGTGATCACAGCAGGGCAAAACTAGAATCAATATAAAAGCTAGAAAATCAATTAACTCTACCACTGGGAAATTAGCAACAAAAACAACAGCAAGGCAATGACGATGTGCTAAAACAACTCCTGTGTTTAAGAGTGAATGATAAATACTAAAAAATGCTGAATATCCAGAAAGTGACAATCATGAACAAAAGACATACTGAAATTTAAAGGATTCAGATAAGGCAAAGCTGGCAGAAGATGCCAATTAATTAGACCAAGATATCATTTTTCATTAATTAAACTTGAATACATCAGAAAGATTAATAAAACTATTTTGATGAGAGTTTTTGGAAAAAGCCACTCTTTTAATTGCTGATGGGAGTGTATATATCAGTACACAGTCTCTAGAGGACAATTCAGCGCTATCTCTAAAAATAACAAGTGTTCATATGTTTTGACTCAACAGCCCCACTTCTAGAAATTTCTCATACATGTATTCAAACATTTGCAAACTCTGGAATGTGCAGAGTTATTTACTGCAACATTGTCTTTAATGGCAATGAGTAGCCACAATCTAAATGGCTATTGGTGAAAGACAGGTTGGTTAAAGAAGTGAGAATATACCTACACGAGGTAACACTTCGCATCTTAGAAAAGAATGAAGAAGTTCTATGTGTGCTGATCTGAAGGGATCACAGAGGTATGCTAAGTAATAAAAGGAAGATGCAAAACAACTCATCTTTATACCAACATGTGTGTGTTACAAAGGGAGGAAAGAAGCTCCTGGGTGGCTCAGTTGGTAAAACATCCTATTTGAGATCTCAGCTCAGGTCATGATCTCAGGGTGGTGAGTTCGAACCTCTCGTTGGGCTCTGCACTGGGCGTGAAGCCTACTTAAAAATAAATAGATAGATGTAGATAGATGGATAGATAAATAAATAGGTAGATAGATAGGGAGGAGACATCTATATATGTTTGGATACTTTTAGAATATCTCTGAACCATACACTAAAGACTGGAAATGGGTTGCTTTCAAGGAGGGGGCCTGGTTTTCTGGAGGATAGGTATGTCAGGAGACTTTCACCTGTCCATCTTTATATACATTTCTAAAAATGTACACTGTATTATTTTTTTCAAAAATAAATAAAAATAAGGACAATAGCATCCCTACTCCCAACAAAGTAAAGCCATCAGTATGATGAGTAACTTTTTTTTTTTTTTTTTTTTTTTTTTGGTATGAGAAAATAATGGACTGGAATTGGATCAGGCATGGGAAACTGAATGTAACTTCCAAAATCTTTCTTATTTATACCAAGGATAAGACCGTCCCACCCCCTGACCCACACACAATGGGAGTGTACCCTGCCTGTGTTGGGGGTGAGGTGGGGAACATTAAACGGATCTTAGATAACTGTTTACCATACAGTAGAGAATTTTGATACATACGGGTTCCTCAAGCTAAAACACCACGATTAATTTAACCATTTATACACATGTAAATACATATGCAATATTCTTATTCCACATCTATCACTCTTCTCCCCAAACATGATGTGTATATCCCATAGTCCTCCAAGTTTCATGTCCCCCACGTGGTACTCAAAACCATCCACAGTCTGGGCAACCTCAGCATCTAGAGTCATCATCCACCTCACTCCACATGGATCCTCTACTTCAATGTTACCGAAATACCCACTTGTTGGCAAACACACATCGTGTCCTTGAATCCACTGCTTTCTCATTTTATTTGCTTGCACATGGAGTCTCACATTTACTCCCACCATGCCTATTTCTACACGTTGCTATCCCTGCTGATGCTGAAAGCCAGTTCACAGACACTCGCCCAGCCGCCCCTGATTTCTACATCCAATACTCTGCCCGCTCCCTGAAAATTCCTGCCACTCTTCTTGTTCCACGCAGGGCGCTATTCACATATAGTCATTTATATGCATATCTCATTTCTCCTTCGAGTTCATAAATCTCTTTGGGAGGAAGAGGAAATTTCGTGAACATTTGTCACTGCAGTTGATGGGTTTTCCTATATAAAGTGGAGTTTTTATCTCTCATTCTTTTGTTTATTTCTTAACAGCTTTATGGAGGTATAATTGATACATAAAAACCATATTTAATGTGTACTTTGATGAGTTTGAATCTATACAATTTAATAAATTTTATGAGAATCAAGGAGCAAATGAGTAGGTACATATAGTTTTTTCTTTTTTCCTTCACTGAAGGTTGATGATGGTGATAGTAAACTTGTAGTTACTTCTTTAACCAAATGAAATACATCCAGAACTATCTCTTTTGACTTAAACCTCGAAAGTGCAATTAATCCAGGCATTCATGAGTGCTTTTTGTAGCTATAAAAGCAATAGATACAAGACTTCTCCATTGTCTCCCCACCTGGGGTCTCAACTTCAGACAATAATATAAAAAAAAAATAATAATCAAACATGTGCATTAATTTACAACTGTGTGCCAGGCACTGAGCTAGACACTGAGATTACAAAGACCAAGGACTTAGTCCCTGAGAAGGAGCTGTGGGTCTGTGGGAGGAACCAAACCAATAGACTGTGACAATGGAGAATAAGCAGGGTTGGTGTGGTAGGGCAAAGGATTAAAAACAGTGTAGAAATACCTGAGCTCATGAGCACAGGATCATGAGCAAGAAAATCCAAGTACAGTAAGACTTGGATTGCAGCTAACTGGTTGTGCGAGTGTTCCACAAGATGAGAAAATATTTCTAGTACATTTTAACTTGATAAACGAATGGTGTCTTACAATACGAGTGGTACATAACACTGAATGCCACGTGATCACAACCGAGCCAATGGATCTTGAAATTCACTTTGGATTACAAGCATGTTTCTGGAATGAATTATGCTCGCAAACCAAGGCATTGCTATATGTTTTTCTCTTATCCCCATTCCCCAAGTGTAGCTGGCTCTTCTGCTAACGAAAAATAATGTTGCATGCATGTCTCGGTAATGTTACTACAGAGAGGATTCATAGAGAAATGTTTTGC